TGTCTAGAACAGTGACCTAATCAAGGATATATCTGAAAAGAAGAAACCTCCTAAAGTATTAACAGAAAATTGGTTATACAGTGGTAGTTTATAACAGTTGGAGTAAACATTGATGGACATTAGCTTGTTTTTGGTTTGATAAAGGATTTATTTGAATTAAGAAACATACAAATTGAGAGATTTTAAGGCAGTTTGGAAGAGATCTAACTGGGCTCAGATGCAAATATAGTCTCTATCCAAAAAAAGATTTTTTTTTTCTTTATTCGGGCAGTTATGGGAATAACCCCCTCAGGAGAAAAATTTAGTCTGTGAAGCTTCCAGATGAGGAACGTTTAGTTAAAAATTTACAGATTATTAGAAGCTAAGAAGTTCTAAGCTCTCAGTTTTGTATACATTCATGAAAAAAATCACAGAAAATCACACAGATCACAGAACAGAAACTAGGGAAAATCAGTCAAGTCAAATTTAAAACGTTGATAGAGAGGGATAGTTTCTCTGGATTTGATGGTGATGGGAAATAGGTTGGAACATTATATAGCTGGGTGTTTTAAGATTATTTTCTAACTGTGTTCAATATCTAGTTTTTTTTTGTTTTTGTCTTTTGTGTAATAAACTATAGTGACATTGTTAAAGTATCCTGTTGTCTTGTGTTCCTAATGAATGACCAACATGATAACTAACGTAAAAAAAAATCCATCAAGATAGATTTCATTCTGGGATCTGATTTGACCATAGTGTCATCAGCTAGGATGACAACAAGTGAGAGCACATTCTCTCACAAAGCAAAACCAATATTTTGACAACATCACAGAGATAATCTCAACTGGACAAGTGCAATTACATTTTTATTTCAGCTTGATAGCATTCTTTTTTTCCTACTTAGATACATAATGTATGTTCAGTGAGTTTTAAATTTAAGCTACATAATCACCTTTTAGGGGATAAATTCATGTAACATTTACCTCACAATGTTTTCTACTTGTACAAAAAAATCAAATATTTTCATGAAGCAACAGGTACCAGCTAATATATGTATTTAGTCAGCTATCCTGTGTAGCCAATCCATGTTTGAGTGTGCAGGTCTTGTTCAATCATCTTACCAATTGAACATCCAACATGGTGATGGATAATTCTAGACCCAATCTTTATTCAGTCTTACAGTTACTTTCAAAGTCAAATTTTATAAGGACACACAGCTCATAACTGAAATACTGCACAGTTTGAGTAAGTATCTCTTTACATGTCCTTAAATGGAAGACCAATTGTCCCCCATTGCCTGCATATAGTTAAATACACTGATGTACAATTACCATCTGGTTCCATTTTATGATAGAACCCATGGTTTCAAGGCTTTGTACTTTTAGGTACAGGTCCTAACTGGAAAAGGAAATCTGACTCTCAGAGTTGCTAAGAATGCTAAGATGGAAACTGGATTGGAAATCAAACTTCTGGTCAAAACTGTGCAAAAGGAGATAGAGCCAGAGTTGCAGAGAAGTTGATGAATCCAGTGGTGCAGTATAAGAAAGCTGATGGAGACAGAAACGAGATGAGAAGCTAACAATAGGCCACATACACAGCTGATGCAATGGTTTTTGTGACTTGAAGATAGCATTGGTGGATCCATACCATCCAGACTGAGTTGAGGAGATTCTCTAGATAGTTTTGGTGAAGTCCATCCTTGTGGAACTTCGGTCAGTTGTGCACTGCTGTCAGGATCAAACTAGCTCCTGTGAAGAGGGGGACTAACATCCCTTAGAGGACGACAGAGTTATACAGGACATTTAGGACCGAGAGTGATAACGTACACGCTGAGTGGGTTGCTGAACCAATTCATCAGATCTCTTTTAGTCATAGCTGTCATTTCATGTGTAATTTATAATCAAAGGCATCTGTCTGTTAATTCATGTTTATCTCATGTTAATTCTGGGTTTTCAAGCAGAGGAGAATACCTAAAATTGTAGTTAGCGTTTGCTTTGTCTGAAATTCAATTTCTAAAAAAAAGCCTTCTGTTTTAAACCATTGATGCTATAGCTTAATTCTCCCAGTAAATAACTGGGACTTTGGATTTTTTTAAAGAAAAACAAGAGTTAAGGGTCTTGACTGCAACTATAACACTTTGGAATGCCAATTGACTATTGTATACACAGGTAAACAGAGTCTACACCTCACCATGTGGTCGGCTTGCTGCCAGTATCCTCCTGAATTATATGGATCCACAGGGTCTTATGTAGCAGATCAAAGCTATGGTAATAGGCTGTTGTATTGAATAAGTTAATTGCATGTTAGAAACTGTGGATACAGTGATATGTCAGACATGATGAGGAGGACTTGGATTTTAGATCTTATTCTTCCAAGATTCTAAGCTGTTCTGTCCACAGGTCCATCATAGGGCATCATCATAGTGGGTGGTGATTTAATGCATTCAAAATTTGCCTTTGCAGATCCAAACATAGCAGTCATGATTCTCACAGATAGACCACTCCAACATCTGACCATCCACCATCTAAAATAACTTTTACTCACGTTGCCATTGCTTCTTTTAATCACTTTTAATCAATGACCCCTGGTCCCTATCTTTTCACCAATGGTAGCATTTTTGCTTTATCTACTCTGTGTAAACCCCTTACAATTTTAAACAATTTAGATCTTCCTTCAACCTTATCTTTACTGAAGGAAATAATTGCGGCCTCTCAATTCTCATCCCGGAATGTTTTCCACATCTCGCCGAATGACTTTGTAATCTTCTTGACATGTGGTGCACTACTTTATAAAACACTGGTATGGCCACAAAGTTCATTATAATCTCCTTAATTTTGGACTCATCAGGCCAGTTATTAAGCTTTGGATCTTGTGTGTCTTTTTAAAAAAATTACTCATAGCAATGGCTTTACTCAAAATTAGGTTTGTGCTGAAGCTTGACTAAAGACCATGATGCCTAGAGAACTAAGGAAAATTCAATAGGGAAAGCTTTAGATTCTGGTAAAACTTGTTGAACTGTGGTGTTCTGTCATAGTCACCTTTTCCCAGCAACTAAATTGAATTATGCTATGGTGTTCAGAGATGAAACATTTATGTTTAAACTGTCTTATCGGACCAAGAGAATGAATAAGTCTTGACTTCTTTAGAAAGGACACAAAATCATTTGGAAGATTGCCAATTCAGGCAAGTCCAGCTGAACAATGAAGAGAAAGGAACTTCTCTCAAACACCCTCCAAGCTTTCTTTCAAACAAAGCAGCCAGCATGTGATTAGATATTGTGGCTTAAAACAAATACTCATACTAACACTGGTACTAACAAGGCACTGTCAGTTTTATATCCTGTCCTTCCCTAGAACTAAATTATGAAATAAAAATTTAAAGAATCCTTAGTGTTTCAAATGTGGGAAACATGGAATTCATCACTATGCTCTACTTCCCATCTCTCAGAAAACTTGTATCTATGCTCCCAAGTTTCCATAAGGTCTTAAACTGAGGTATATTACCCAAAATAGCAGTAAAAGCATTACAACTTGGCATTTATCAGGCATTTAAAATATTGAAAACTTTTCTATTTTTTTCCAGGATCCAGGATAATGTGTGCAAACTATTGACTCGTGGCTTTGCGAGCAAGTTGCACTTTTTTCGAGTAAGAGAGCATTACATATCTCAGTTCCCCTTCATAAATTGATCAAGGTTTTCCTTAAATTCTGTAACAAAATTCAGCATTTCAAACACACTGCTGTTGTCTCTGTTTGTTTTGAATTTCCTCATCAAGGTTCAAGACACAATGGAAATCCACATAAATAAGCCTTTGAAATTATGCCATGGCATAACAATGCATGAATACTTCACAATCATCTGAAAATCGTCTTCCAGCCATTTTACTGGAAGTATTAATCCGTTTTAAAAAATGAGCTAATAGCTCTTTAATTTCATCATGAAAGGAATTTTGGCCGACATTTGTGCCACATGTGACTATGGAGGACACTACAGTTAAACTTATCATTTTCAATTGGGTTTCAGAATCTAGCACAAATGTTTAATTTTTAACTACCCTTCATTGCTAAAATATGAGCTTGGATGGGTAGACCATGGTGGGACAATGTTGGGCCGTAGGAGGGAAGTGTCCAATGATGGTTTCTTCATGAGTTAAACCTCCTCAAAGTTAGACCCTGCATACAAATGAAGCCGAAAGGACAATTTTAACACTTTTAATTTTAAATTTTCCTTGTGGGCCAGGATGGCTCCTTCCACTTTCTCAGCTTTTAGCCCATCCCATCCCAATTGTGCAAAGGAATCTCTTCTTGTGTCCCCTTACTTATCTCTCCACACATTTCTTTCCTCCACAACCATGGCCAGACCTTTCATTCCGTCCCTCTTGAATAATCATGGTCAATGCTATACACTATGCACAGGCTACCTCCCACTCGGCTACAGAGTCTTTCCTCCACTCTCTCCCTCCCAATTGTGCCCAGACCCCAGCCCTTAATTATTCATACCTCCTTCCAAATTTGTGGACACTTTGTTACGCTCCACCGAAAAATGCCTCTGGGTTCTCTCTCCTATTGGCTGCGTGGTTAATCTGGTCAGGTGTCCAGTGAAAATCTTCAAGCGTGACCATGCCATTGAGGTAGGCAGGTACTCCAGCTCTGTGATCCTGCTCCTGAGTTTATGAGCTGAGCTCATAACCTGTCACTGAGTCCCCAGGAACCCTCCCTTTCTCCCTGTAAAAATTAACGTGCTATGGAGGCTACATTTTGTTTTACAGTTATACGAGCAGAGTACGCGCCTGGCCCAGTGACTACCAATTGTCATCAAGAGATAACATGAAATGAGGATGCTTATAAATGATGAGGAAAGCGTTTAAAACTGACTGAAGAAATCCATTGTTATTAACAGAGGAGAAAAGGTTAGTATTCGACATAATGTCTCCATTCCAAATTGACTTTAAAGTTGCGAGTGGCATTCATAAACACTGAGTAATTTTGAATAAATTATCCGTATCTTTTTAGTTTTCTTACCGTATCCAATGGGTAATAAAATCTTCCATGAGCAATCCAAGTTGCTTGGGTAATTTCCAGGAAATCCAGGACTCAGAATGACGTTGTTCATGTCTGTCAATATCCCTCCACATTTAGCTGATTATCAAGAAAAAAAGAAGCCTTCATTTATTTGTTGCAACTACTCTAAGATCTAATATGTTGTCTTTGTGTTCGTTACCTTCCCTTAATTATTGGAGCTGCATTTAGCAGAGATTTCCAGCTAAAATGTTCAATGTGTAACTGACATGAATTTGAAAGTGAGATCCTAATTAAACTTCAGTTTGTAATTTATGTCCAATGACAACTCACATTTATCTGGCACATTTAGCACCCCAAGACTGCACAACCAAACGTACCTTTGTAAGTTTAAATATAAACAGGTTATAACTTACCCATGTGAGAGACACTATTAACTCCAACAGCTTGGCCTAATTCTGTTCTGCATGCACAAAGGGGCTGATTGTTCCACGATGTGAATCAACAGACTACAAAACATGTTTCAAATTCCAGATTTGCATTGTCGTTTGAATCTAAACTAGGCAATTAACTCAAGCAGACATGAGCGCAACTAAGACTCCTAGCCAGCAAAATTGAACAGAGCCCAACAACAGGAGTGGGCATTGCAGTGCATTCAGCAGGCAAACATTTGTGCTGCCCACTGCTTTGAACCTATAGTCATGCACAGCAGTCAGCACTAAGACTCAGATGGGAAGGCCACCAAATGTGTCTGGACCTAGCACCACCTAATGCCAGCCTGTATTACTAAAACCCAAAGGTAAAATATCGTGGATGCTGGAAATCCAAAATGAAACAGAAAATGCTGAAAATACTCAGACAGACAGGCAGCGCCTGTGGAAAGAGAAACAGAATTAAACATTTCAGCTCTGTGATCCTTCATTGACCTGAAACATAAATTTCCCACAGTGGCTTCGTCAGCACTTTTCTCTCCATTTTCATTTTACTACAATAAAGTCAGCCGGCATCTCTTAAAGAGGTCATACGTGCTGCCTGGAGCAAATGTTAAGACTTGTTGCAGGCTTTTGGGCAATTTGTCAATTTTAAGGAGCCTAGAAAATTTTGATAGCAGGTTGGCACAAGACTGCTCAAAAATCAGAGTCTGTTCTTTTCCATGTGCAGGAGTGGTAGCCGACTTCATAAGGACTCTTGCAAACCCAACCAGGACGTAGTGTCTTGGGTTTGATGTCTCAGCTCCCATTTCAATACAGGCAGAAGCCCACTTGACACTATTACACCTGCTATGAAGCGGTTGCAGGCTGCTTCCACCTTGCATATCAGTGCACAAAGGGGCTTGTAAAGTCTGAGAGCCATACAGCAATCTGACCTCTAATACATTATGCTGAGGCACCATCCCAGGAATGAACATTGCTACGTGAAGCATAAAACTTCCTGTTCTCTCTCAGATAGTCTGCTCGTGAGGTTTTGTCATTGTTCTACAAAATCAATTCACAATGACAGCCCAGGAACTAATGCCCTGCCTAGTGAGAGAGACGTACAACCGTCAGACAATACGTTTCATGGCAATTTCGATCAAGTGCGAATTTTGTGCTTTCTGAAGTCCAAGTTCTTACTTTCAGAATGGACATACTTTATACGTGATTACTTAGAAACAAAACAGTTTTGAACTAGTCCAACTGGCAACAGAAACAAAAGCCAGCAATATGGAATGCGTACCAGGTTCAATTCCCATCCCATGATGAACTATCTGATTTCATTTGTGATGGCAGTGTGAGCACCAGACTGAGCTCCTAGATGTTCAGGATATAACATCCAGTCATAAAATCATTTCTCACTCATTGCCTGGTATTGCAGCATAATCCTTCCTTTCTGGACCTAAGTTAGAGAATTCACCAATTGACAGGGATCTTTGCTCACTTACCAATGCAGATTGGAGATGGGTAATTCCAACGGCGAACAGTTCCAGGCATACATGAGACATGAGCTTGTCCCTAGGAAGCAAAAAACAAATTCTGACCATATGCCAGTTAGTGGTAAATTGAAACAGCTGCAGAAAACCTTAGATGGTCTCTGGCTAAATGATGCCTTTAATATTGACCTTTATTACCGCATGTGGAAGGCAGATTTTATAGTATGACTTACCCCCAAAATTTCACTGCAGATGAACCTTTACGATCAGAACATTTAATACCAGTATAGCGTTGTAATGACACACGTGTTGCTAGGGTCATCATAAACTACATGTTCTATTTGCTGGGAACAATGGTGAAATGGATGGAGAACAAAATGATTGAGATCCTATTGAGCACAGATCACCAAAGATTTATGACTATTGTGGAGAAAATGTAGATAAAGCTGGTAAGGTAGAGAGTTCTATTAATACAGACAACGCCATTCCATCGTTATTCAGGCCATGAGTTAGACCATATTGGAAACACTCTTTTGGTCTCTGCTTTGTGGTCGATGATAATTGCCATGAGAGGACTAGAGCTCAGAGTACCTCAGCTTCATAGACAATCTTATTTATTTTTGAGTAGTATAGACTTAAAGATAACTCAATGAAGGTTTATAAAATAAGTTGAGAATTCTATTGATTCCTGTTGATTGACTATTCCAGTTTAACAGAATGGAAGGGACATGAGTCTAAACTATATAAAAGCAGGAACTGACTGCATTTTAGGCAGCTTTTCAATTCCCAGAGTAGTAAGCCTTTGGAATATGTGGTTGGTGGTGTAATGGGTACTGGGTGTCTGCACTTCTTTGAAAGGGAATCATAGAATCCCTGCAGTGTGGAAACAGGCCCTTCAGCCCAACAAGCCCACGCCAACCCTCAGAGCATCCCACCCAGACCCATCCCTCTGTTACCCACCTAATCTACACATTCCTGAACACTATGAGCAATTTAGCATGACCAATCCACCTAGCCTGCACATCTTTGGACTGTGGGAGGAAACTGGAGCACCCAGAGGAAACCCACGCAGACACGGGGAGAATGTGCAAACTCCACACAGACAGTCACCCAAGGGTGGATTTGAACCCGGGTTACTGGCGCGTGAGGCAGCAGTGCTAACCACCAAGCCACTCTGCCACCCGTCTTGAGGGCTCTCCCCATCTACTATACTTTTAGGCAGTGAGTTCCAGATATCAACAATCCTCTAGGTGAAAAAGAATCCCTCAAATTCCCTCTAAATTGCATGGTCTTGGTCCTCCTTATCTCCCAATTCATGAATTTAGAAACACTCATCATTAGATGTAGATGCTACGCCAGAACACTGTAGATGTCTGCCTGAGCTCAATGTTCAGGATTAAAATGGTACGCAACTGTAAGCTTGGGTTTACATTTTCAGACTGACTGGGGTGACCCATAAAGCAATCACCCAACCTCTGCCTTTGGTCTCCCAATGTGGAGCAAGCCATAGTTAGCAGCAAATACAGTTCAAAAATCATTAACCAAAACAAGTCCACATAAATTGCTGTTACATCTGTAAGTACTGGAAGGAGAAGTGGGGTGGCAAAAGGATTGGTGTTACCCTTCCTACATCTACATGGGAAGGTGCTGTGGAAAGGGCAGTTTTGGTCAGTTCAGCTCTGAATTGGGCTAAATTCTACGTAGCACAGATCACATTGCATCGAAGTAATTGTCTTAATAGAAACAGTCAGTCCATGTGATGTCCTTGGCAAGTTTAATTCTATGAGAGGGGTGCAATGTGAGGGTCTGCTGGTTGGAGAGCAATTTTCCAGAATATTCTTTCCCATTATTGTTGTTTTTCACTTCTCCCAGGAGATTATATTCCTTTGGCAGTAATGCAGAAGGAAAAAGTCACCACTGCATCAGATGGCTTGGAATGAACCTCTCTTTATGACCTGTCAATCATGTTTGCAGCAATACAAACTGAGGTAGTAATATAATGAAGCTTAAGAATTCCATACACTAAGTGTGAGTGATCCATAGCTTTCTACTTCTTGCATTCATTACCATGTTTTTCAGAGTAGATACATTCCTGTGACTGTCTACCTATAGGTATGGATGGTGGAGGAAAGAAAAATAAACTGTTCAATATTAACTTCCCATTAACACAGTTTGGGTCCATTTAAATACATGTAAGGGAACCTGCACACAAAATTAAAACTTTAATGGTGATTATATCACTGTTTCATCTTGGAGCTTGTCAAGTGTTCCGTTTATCATCACTTCAGTAAAGATTTAAGGAACTTCCTATGTCTGCAATAGTTGAAGTTATTTTAAATGTAGAGGTTACAAGTTCATTCAGCTGCATACAACTTGATAGCTCAGTACATATGAAGTAAAATGGTTGAATAATAACATTTTAATAAAGCAGCAGAGACCCACTCCTGAGCTCTGAAATTTAGCAGCGCAATCCAAAACTCTCAAATGTTATTGTTCTACAAGTCAGCAAACAAAAGTTACATGTAATGGTCAAGAAAGGACAAAATAATATTGAACTGAAATACTGAATTTCTTATTAATAAACACCAGCTAACTGCTTGATAAACTGACAGTAATCACGTCACATTAATGAATCATCTTGTGTGAATATTGTCACAAAGAAACATCTGAACATACACTTAATACTGGCACCTCTGCCACCAGTGGCTGGCAGTGCACCTCACCAAAGCCCAGAAAAAAAGGCAATATTTCACAACGGGTGGACTTCAAGTCAGGAATTGACACTTTCTCTTTATGAAGAGATCAATACCTGCAGAGGGGGTTGGGGATGTTCAATCTGGATAATTGAGTTGAGGACAAAAGTTTCATTTAAGAAACGACAGATGGTGCTCCAGGAAAACAGCGAGTTTGGCATTTTGGAAATATCACATCAAGTTGAACAAAGGGCTTCTCTGCGTCCAAAACAATCTTGTGAAGCAACTAGGATGCTGATTGTTTATTTAGATTTGTACAGAATTCACAGTGCAGAAACAGGCTATTTGCCCAGCTGGTCAATGCTGCTCCAAAATTAGCTTCCTTCCAGTCTACTTCATATCAAAAATACCTTCTACCTTTTTTTCCTCCATCATGTACTCAAATATATTCAGGGAGAAGCTGCCTGTGCTATTCAGCTCAACCACTCCACATGATAGCGAGTTGCATATTCTCACTGTAATCTGTAAAAAGAAGTTTCTCTTGCTGGATTTAATAGCAACTGTCTTATATTTTTGACCCTCAGGTTTGGACTCACCCACCAATGAAAACATTAAAGCTCATAATCACAAACAAACACTTGCCTTAAAAAACACAGGAGGTCCCTTGTCTGCATTACATCAAGCATATCTAACGTGTTGCAATCAGTTTTGCCAAAAACACACAAATAATCACATTGTCTAAAGATTTCTGGGCATGTGTGACTTTGATACATTCAAAATTAAAAAAAAAATCTTCTATAATCAAGAATGTGAGAGAAAATATTAAGTAAGTAACAATACTTTTGATTAGTCTACCCTTTAACAAGAAAATCAAAATTATCCTTTTACTTGTAATTCCATAATTTTTGAAAAGTTGAAAGTCCCTCTTTCCAAATATATTTTAATCAAGGAAAAAAATGCAGTGTAAGCAACACTTTCATATGAGTTTTTTTAATGCTTCATACAGGACGTGGGCTGGTGGATGGTTTGAAATGTTTCAAAGTCAAATGTATCAGTAAGTGCATTATGTTTAAAAGGATTGCTGAGAACACAATGTTCCTTTTTACATATCACATTATTTTTCAGGACTCAAAATAGACAAGTTCTTTCTTTTAGAGCTGCACAACCCACAATTATATGACGAGCATATTCAGTCATAAGCCTGTTGGACCTGGTGTCATGTGATTTCAGACCTTGTCCACCCCAGTTCAACACTAGCATCTCCACATCATGGAGACCAGACTAAGGCAAACAAAAATCACACCTTTTGTTCACTTATCATAGCTGTTAGCCTTTTGACTCAACTCCTGTCATTTTAGGAACTGGATGACTGAATATCTGCACAGTCAGATCAAGTAACTGTTAGAAACAGAAAAAAAGTGCATAATATGTCACATTTTACAAGCCCTTCTTTTGTGTATACTGAAGTCTTGTAGGACTTTTTTTGATCGATGTCTTATATCTTCTATGAACCACCTACTATTGGGATGAAGCCACACTTTGCCTGTGCGTGGGTGCAGAAAGAGGTAAAGAGGAATTAATCAAGGTAAGACACTTGGGAGATGCATTCATGTCCTTGTATTTACATTTTAATATCCTAACTGTGACATAAAACAGAAATGATAATGGAACAAAGACGCATTATAGAAAACAAACATAAGTCTAGAACATTGACAGCTAAAGCCTATAAAATAGGTTCATTTTCTACATAACATTACTTCAAATGGAGATCCCTGATACATTTACTGCTGTAGACCATTAGAGAGATAATGTTATACAATAACATATCTGTGCAACACTGTGGTAAGAATTGAATGAAATCATGCTGACTCTGACCTAGTTGGTAGTTACACTAGAGGAATAGGGTTGTAATATTATAAACTCTTTTCAATAGTGCAATGCTGAGATACACTGTAGTAACAAAACAAAATCCTTCTTACACTTACCTGCAATGAGTAGCCAGATTCACAGCTAAAAGACACCACATCATTAACCAAATATCTATCTCCAATCTTTATTCCATTGCTGGGAAGCACTGGATCAGGGCAGGTTGTAAGACCGACAGCTGCATTGAGAAACATATATTCAATTAGAAGTAAACAAAGGTAATATAAAACCTAAATATTTGGACAATTGCTAATACACCATTATGTTAAAAAAATCACAAAAAAATAAAAAAAATGACAATTTTCATCACATACTATTTAATGGATTTAAACCTGACTACATATTGACAACAAAACTAAATACATCTGAGAGTTATAGCTTACATTTACACATTTCAGATAAAAATTTGATAGAACAACATTTGTAAGCATTTTACGCTTTATGAATTAGAAACAAAATTATCAGTTCAGAATCTGCAACCAAAAAGCTGGTTAACATTTTGAGCAAGGGTTTTGATCTGAACTGCCTTATGAAGAATGTTCTGTTTTAATCACATTGCCAAAAGGTAAATTTTCTTTAAAACTCTGAAAGAAAAAGAGATAGCAAGAGCTGCAGATGCTGGAGTCAGAGACAAAACAGTATGGTGCTGGAGGAACACAGCAGGCCAGGCAGCATCAGAGGAGCAGGAAAGCTGACTTTTTGGGTCGGGACCCTTCTTCAGAAATGGAGAGGGGGCCTCCTCCAATGTCACAATGACACCACATTTACTCCGACAGTTTGTGGGTGGTGTCATTGTGACACTGGAGGAGGCCCAATCTTGGCCTCCTCCACCCACAAATACCCGGAATAACACCTCATATTCTGCTTCAGGAGCCTACAGCCCAATGGCCTAAACATGGAATTCACCAGTTTTAAAATCTCCCCACCCCCCGCCTCATCCCATGTCCAAGCCCCCGTCTCATCCCTGCCTCCTTGACCTGACACAACCTGTCCATCTTCTCTCTGACCCATCTACCCCACCCATCCAACTGACCAATCCCCACCTCTCCCTAACTGCACTCACCTATCACCATCCCATCTACCTTCCCCAGCCCCACCGCTCCTCTCTCTATTTATTTCAGAGCTCCCTTCCCCCTCCCCATTTCTGAAGAAGGGTCCCGACTTGAAATGTCAACTTTCCTGCTCCTCTGATGCTGCCTGGCCTGTTGTGCACCTCCAGCTCCATGCTGTGTTGACTCTGAAAGAAAAATGCTGTTATTTCTGATCAATGCAGCAATTCCACCACTTTGTATTGCTTTACTTGCAATATTTTCTCTTGGTGGCACTATTCCCTTCAACAAAGAGACAGACAGGCTGAATCAGAGACAATTGAGCCCTTTATTCCAAACACTTACTTTCAGTAATACAAAAGCACGCTTGTCAGCTACCGTATTGATTTCAACAGTGAAACAGAGTTTGATTTAACATATTCTACTCAGTGACCACACAGAGCCCAATTAATTGATGGCAGCTGGTAATGAAGTACTGGGTGAAAATCACCATAAGACTAAATAACAACATGGGAATAGGTTGTCAATTGATTTTGTTTTATTTTAGCTGCAAAGTTATTCAGCCATTTCAATCCATATGTTGTGGATTTCAGCATTTGGACTCCAGATCTTCTGTAAAGCAAACTGTCATGTTATTCCATGGAAAGAGGAATCATTTCTGAAAGTGGTAAAGTGTGTCCTGATTTTAAATTATTGTTGTAATACTTCTGCTCCATTAAAGCACTGAGAATCAGAGAGAAGCACAGCTGAAATTTTCAGCTACCTCCCTGATGCATTCCGTTTAATCTTTCCAAACCTAATCTAATAAAATCCTCTTTTTTTTTTGATCCATTGTGTACTGTGCAAGCCAGCAATTTGAGGAACAGGTACGATCTAAGATGTTGCTATGCTTGACTATTTCAAAATATAAGTTACATTCAATGCTATTAAGAACAAGAATGAGGCAAGTTGCAATATTTTCAAGAAGTCACTCAGAGCAATTCAAGGTTTCTAAACAGTCAATTTTAGCCGAAGGGAAGCAATCAGAGGCGAAAGTTGTTACCTTTGTGATGCTAATCAGTTAGCGACTTAGAAGCAAGGAGAAGAGGTCATGTCCTGAAAAGATGTTGCTGCTGTAGTAGGCTTCAAGCTTTTCAGACTCAAGAGAATAAGCAGAGCCAGGAGGTGGAGTTAAGTGTTGAGAATATGGCTCAGAAAAAGGCCTGGGAGTTGTGGGGTCTCAGGAGAAGTGATTAATAATTCAAATCAGCTGAGAGCAGGGATAAAGGAAGTCAACAAACAGTAGAGATAACAGGGTGTAGGGCTGGATGAACACAGCAGGCCAAGCAGCATCAGAAGAGCAGGAAAGCTGACATTTCAGGCCTAGACCCTATACTCAACAAACAGTATTTGTTTTGTGAAGCTGAACAAGATTAGAGCTCAGAGAAATGGTGCGGTACTAACTGGCTTGGAGGGGCTAGTTGTACGTGCAATACAGAAACTCTACCTCCATGCAGTTTTAAGAATCCAGTGCGGCACTGTTCCCCACTTAGGAGAGGAAACTATCAGAACGTTAAGAGAGTCCCTGACAGAGCAGTGTTTGAGACCATTCCAGTGCTAGGTCTTCAACAATATGGGTGAATATCACACATAAGCCTAAACATGATCGATTATTGACAGCCACCAAAATAGGACCACAAAGGAAATGAATGCAGTCTGCGGTTCACACCTAAAACGTGAGCATCTTGATCTTGCCAGTCCATGATGGCCTGCTATACCCTGTTCTCATCTATTGGAACCAGGTATCACTGAAGTCTTGGGGATAGTAGGAACTGCAGATGCTGGAGAATCCGAGACAACAAGGTGCAGGGCTGGATGAACACAGCAGGCCAAGCAGCATCATAGGAGCAGAGAGGCTGACGTTTCGGGCCTAGACCCTTCATCAGAAAAGGGGGAGGGGAAGGGGGTTTTGAAATAAATAGGGAGAGAGTGGGAGGCGGATAGAAGAGGGATAGAGGAGAGGATAGGTGGAGAGGAAACAAACAGGTCGAAGAGGCGGGGATGGGGCCAGGAAAGGTGAGTGTAGGTAGGGAGTTAGGAAGGGGATAGGTCAGTCCAGGGAGGACGGACAGGTCAAGGGGGCGGGATGAGGTTGGTCGGTAGGAGATGGAGGTGCGGCTTGAGGTGGGAGGAGGGGATAGGTGGGAGGAAGAACAGGTTAGGGAGGCAGGGACGAG